GGGAAGTTTTCAGACATATTTCTTCAAATACTTTTTCTGCATTTTGTTCTTTCTCTTCTTTTTCTAAGACTTTGATGACACAAATGTTAAACCTTTTGATATTGTCCCACAGGTCCCTGAGCCTCTATTTTTGTACTTTTGTTTGTTTGTTTTCCCAGTTTTTTCCTCTGTTATTCAGATTGGATAATCAGATTGAGTCTATCTTTAAATTCATGTATTTTTTTACTCTCAACCTGTCCTGCTACTGAAAAGAGAGGGACAGATTTCTATATCCAGATTTCTATATAACCTATATTTCTATATCTATTTCTATAAAAACCTTCACTTAGTTCCAGTGTTTTTATTCTTTGCTTGTACCATCCTCCACTTTACCTTCCAGAAGACCTTCTAGTCTTCCAGCAGGAGGAAGAGGTGCAGTTTCCTGAGTTTTTGAAATAGGGGAGGGTGTCTGGAGATCCAGCTGCTTCTTACACAGACTTTCAACCAGTGCTCTTGTTTTCCTTACACCTTCAATTCCCAAAACCTTGAGGTAGCAATTCCTGAACTTCTGCAGTATCTGTGGTATTAATTTGGGTTGCTTCTCAGTTTTTCCTGCTACAAGCTTAGGAGCCCACTTTCTCGGGAGTGCTGAATAAGCTTTCATTTGTCTGCTTTCCTGTATGCAGAATATAGGTGGTGTTTTCTCCTCTTCTGTTCTCTTTGACCTTAAGTTTATACCTTAAATCTATTTTATTTTGGATGTTTCAGGAGGGAGAGGGTAATCAATTGTGTATTCACACTGCCTTCTTTTCCTGGAGTCAGGAAAAAGTGGTAAACCTAAATTTTTAAATGTATTCATCCAGGCACCATAAAGTTTTTCTTTGTCTCCTGATACCTTCTAGGATGAGATCCCTACTGGAATGCCATGCCTGGAGTCAGTAACCATAGGTGATGATATTTGGGATGAGAACTGGTTACCTTTGCAGTCTGAAATGGGAAAAGGAAGTGATGCTGCCTCCCACTTACTTACCTCAAGCTTTGGTGGACAGAAACCATATTCGTCATGTAAAGAAGTGCCACAGAAGGTTAGATCCCTGGGAAAACATAAAGTAAATCACTGCTGAGAAAGGAAGTACAAATGTAATTGTCCAAGACTCAAAAAAGCTATACATTCTGCAGTTCAGAAGGATTTATCAGACAGTAATTCAGAAGATTGCATCCCCCCCCTCAAATATGGTAGTGTTGGGGTGGGGACAGCATAAATCAGGGGAGACTAAGCCATGGGCCTACCTGTCAGTTGCTATGCATTTTGTTTTACCATTGGCACCTAGAAATAAACTATTTTCCCTGATTTTATTTTTGTTGCATTAGCCTTGTAATAAAATATCTGGGTCTCTTCTGGGACAGTATTTACTAATATTGGTCCCTATATATTTGATATTTAATTTATTTCCTACTGGTTATTCAAAAGAAGAAATATCAACACTTATGTTGCTCCTTATTATTTGGGCCGTTTAAATAGAGATCATGAAAATCATCTAGCCATGAAAACAATATGGAAGAAAATACGACAAACAGAGTCGTATTTGTTTTTATGAGACCTGTGTGTTTATGGGAATTCAGGATATCGGGAGTGGAACAGTAAAGCAGAGGGGGAAAGCCACACTGATGTGGAGTTAACAAGTACCTTTCTTGTTCAGTACACCTTGCCGCCTTGCCTTTACCTTGCCCAGGCCATCCTCTGTTTGGATCGTGTGACCCTGTATCTCAGTTTATTCGTGCAGTTTTTTCTCTCTAGGGTTGGTGTTTTTCTGCACCCAGAGGTACCTGGGACGAGTCCTGGCAGCCTTCAGGCCTTGTGAATGGGCTGGGAGTAGAAGGACTGGGTGCTCAGGAAAGAAACCCTGAAACAGCCAGGGTTCAAAAGGTAAATGTCTATTGAATGTATTGTGACAAGTTCTTATGAGGAAGTGCTTTCATTGTTTGAAAGAAAAATTCTGGTTACTGACCCATCTCTTAGCACTTGGTAGAATACATACACGTAAAATGTATGTTGATTTAAAAATGAACTCTAGTTAACTTACTGTAGTCACTCATCACTTCAGAAGAAAATTCTGAACCTAGAATTAAAAGATAATGATTCAACCTCTGCATTAGGGATAGAGAAAACAAGTATTTTAATTTGGCCATAAATTTTAAGTTCTATAGGTATCCTTTCATCTAGACCAGTTTTTTTTTTTTCCTTTTATCTTGCTTTAGCAGAAAGCATCGGCCCTGGAACAAAATCCGTTTGTTTTGTATTTCTCAAATACATTTTGAGCAGCCTGAAAGCAGCAGGACAATTTGTATGACCCGTGAAATTTGGCTAGCAGCTCTCTGTGCTTTTGTGTGTTGCACTGATAACAAAGGACTCAAGTCTAGGACACTTGTTGAAAAGCAGATTTGTGGAAGATGTACTTTCTGAGTGAAGTCTTTTCTACAGGATGTGGTTACCTTGATGAGAGCATTGATAAAGTATGCTGTATTACATAGACCAGTCTGTTCCAGAAATGTTAATTGCTTAAAGCACAGATTTAGTCTAAGATAAAATAAACTTGTATATTTTGTTTCTCATGTAGTTCTTTTTTAAAAGAAAGAATAGCTTTATTGAAATGAAATTCACATACCGTACTATTTACTTGAAGTTTACAATTTGAATGACTTTTAGTATACACAGACTTGTGCAACCATCCATGCAATCCATTTTAGAACACTTTCATCACCCCTTCAAAAAAAAACCCACTACGCTTTAATAGTC